TCTTACCATTAGTATCACCATTTAAAATCTGATAAGTAACATGAACTTTACGTACAAGTACATATTACCGGTTTTAGTAACCTAAGGTATGACCCTTAGTTGGCCCTCAAGATGGGTAACTCAAGGGAAAATTGACCCACGAAGGGTTTTGAGTTTGATATATAATTTTTTTGAGTTTGATGATAAACCAGACTTCTATTGACAATTTATTCTCCTTCCTCAGACACATAAATATCCTTCATTCCATCTAACCATCCATTGTCCTTAACCCTTCCCTTTTTCATCAACACCTATCCTACCCCATCTACCCTCTCCTTCTACTCCTGTAAATGCTATCATACAATAACTGACCGTCAAAACGTGACATTTTAACTAATAATGAACTTTAAAAACCCTCCCAACACAATACAAAACCATAGTGCTATATGACCTTTGATGTCTAGCATATTTTTTTCTTGTCGTTATTATTTACTTACTTGATATCCCTGATGTAGAGAATTGCATCAATGCATGAGACATTTTTTTTTTTTTTTTTTTTTTTGCGATTAAGCAGTCGATTTGTAAAAGCCTCTCATTCTATAATATTCTAAAGTTCTCCGGCCTTTCCACATTGGTTAGATTGGACCCTAGACTATTATTGAAAAGGAAATACGTATATTCTCTTGGCTATTAAGTGTTTCTACAAGGCATGGTATTGGTGCAAAACACTGAGATATAACAGTGCCAGGGAATTCGCCGAAGCTACGCCAAAAAGCCATTGCGTCTGAAGGAATGGGAATGGGAATCTGGGAATTAAATAATCAAATAGCCGTTTTTCCAATATACAGCGATCGAGTAATAGTGGTCGTGTGAATTACCCGAGATGAATACTTTTAAACATGAGCCATTTTCCCGGTCATTAAGCTTCATTTACCCGGGCACTGTTACATGGAAAGTGGCTTATAAGGAACTAAGAGGGTATTGGATAAAGTGGCTACAGATTCATCGACAGGAGATTTATGTGATTGGAGTAAGGGTGCAAGTGTTGGGAGTGAAGGACCCGAGTGATTGTGTGAGAGGACCAACTAGGTCTCCGCAGACTCCACCGAGTTAATTCATAATTTCCTTTTCCTTTTCTCTCTCTCTCTCTTCCCTTTCTTCTTCCCCCTCCTCTCTCTCTTCCTTTTCTTCTTCCCCCTCCTCTCTCTCTTCCTTTTCTTCTTCCCCTCCTCTCTCACTCCTCTCTCTGTTCCTTTTCTTCTTCCCCCTCCTCTCTCTCCTCCTTTTCTTCTTCCTCCTCTCTCTCTCCTTTCTCTTCCCCTCCTCTCTCTAAAAAATCCTTCCTCCTGATCCTTACTCCTTACTATCCTCCAAAGGGATCCTATTACATAAGGGTAATGGGCAGATTTTTTTCCGTACAGGACAATCCTATTCCAGAACTGCCTTTGGGCTCTCATAAATATGTTCATCAATTTTAGTTCAGACAGACTTTAATTCACTTTTGTAATGAACTAATTAGCCATTACATAGTATTACTGATTACTCTATCCCCCATAAGGTCTCAATTTTTGGCACTAGAAGACAAAACAAAATTCTTGAACACTTCAGCAACAAAAGTAGCATTATATAGTATTTACCTTCAGATTTAAGGGCATTGTCGTCACAGAATATGGGGTTAGCTAGTTTATATTGATTAGATACAAGCCTTCCCTGTCATAAGACATTTTCGCACTAATTGAATCCATAATGAAGTTAGAACTGCACTTTGAAAATGCTCAGTTTTCAACACACAGACAAAAGACGAAAACTGAGCAGACATACATTTCCTTTTACTTCGATGGTGCTTTCTTAATTGCTGTCCATGTCCACTGTCTCCACTTCTTCCTTCATTGACGGACAAAACAAAAATCCAAAATAATACTCTACTCCGTCCTGTCTCAGGAATTGAAAAACTGGCAACTCACTTGGACTTTGGAATTATCCGATTCGCTAACTCTTTAGATGAAATATAAAAAATGGAAAAAATATGTTACTTAAAATAACATGAACGTGAAATACGAAGCCAAAAAAGAAAAAATACTAAACGTATGTTATAAAATAACATATATTTGAAAACGTGTGAGATGTGTCACCTGTTTTAAATAAATAAGAACCAACGAATCGGAATGAACAAGTCCTGTAATGAGTTGCCAGGACGTTCTTTTTCCTGTAACTGGACGCACTGTAGTCGAGAAACTTAATGAGATACTCAACAAAATTTATTATAACACAGAATGAAAGGCTTTTGTAGAAATGCCCTTTTCTCAAGAATGGAAGTTCATGAGGTAATGCCCAGTTTATGTCGCCGTTCTTCTCCACCATCGCCGTTCCTTAAATATTTGAAATTCTCCATCAGCGCCGTTCTTCTCCACCACCGCCGTTCCTCTTCACCATTGTCGCTCTTCTCCACCATTGTCGCCGTTCCTCTTCACCATACCACCCCGCCGTTCCTCTTCACCAACCACTTCCTCTTCACCACGCTCGCTGTCGCTCTTCTCCACCACCGCCGTTCCTCTTCACCATACCACCAACCATCGCTCTCTCCACCACTCCTCTCCATCATCACCATTCTCTTTCCCCGTCGTGTCTCCTCCATCCCCGTTCCTCTCCACCATGACCGGCTCCCTCCACCATCGCTGCGTTTCTCTCCACCTCTTCCGTTCCTCTCCACCATCTCCCTTCTCCATCACCGCCGTCCCCGCCGTCGCCGCTCCTCCCCTCTACCCCCGGAAGCCCCCCGGAAACCCCCCAGACGGCGCGATCTTCTCCTGGATCCAGCGAACGTACTTGGTAACCCTCGTGAAGATGTCGGGGCCCCCAGACACCCCACACAGGGGCCCCGAGGACACCAGGCCGTAGACGAAGCTCCTCCCCTTCACGACGCACACCAGGGGCCCCCCGGAGTCCCCACGGCACGGCCTCCTGCGGAAGGGGTTGTCGCTGGCCACGCACGCCCCCGAGGACGTGTAGTTGTAGCTCCCGAAGGTGGACTCGCAGAGGGAGTCCGGGGCGAAGGTCAGCTGGAGCTCGTTGGGGAGACGGGTGGGCTGGGGGAGGGGGAACGGGAGGGGAAAGGGGGAGGAAGAGGGGGGAAGGGGGGAAAGGGGGAGGAAGGAGGGAGAGGGGAAAGGGGAAGGAAGGAGGGGGAAGGGGGAGGGGGAGGAGGAGGGGGGGAGAGGGGGAAAGGGGGAGGAAGGAGGGGAAGGGGGGAAAGGGGAGGAAGGGGGAAAGGGGGAAGGAGGGGAGAGGGGGAAGAGGAGAAAGGAGGGGGGAGGGGAAAGGGGGAAGGGGGGGACAAGGGAGGGAGGGGAAGGAAGGTGGAGAAGGGGGAAGGGCAAGGAAGGAGGAGGGAGGGAAGGGGAAGGGGAAGGGGAAAGGGGAGGGAGGAGAAAAGGAGGAAGGAGGAAGGAGGAGGAGGAGGAGAAGCAGGAGGGGGGAAGGAGAGGAGGGGGAAGTGAAAAGGAAGGAGGGCAGGAGGGGAGGAAGGGAGGGGAGAAGCAGGAAGGGGGGAAGGAGGGAGAGAAGGAGGGGGAGGAGAGAAATAGAATAGAATAGAAACAAGTTTTTAAATATATATATTCAATGCTAAAAGAACAACTTATTACTCATTGAACATCATCATCAGGTTGAACATTTAACAAATACAAATTCGTGTATATATATATATATATATATATATATATATATATATATGTGTGTGTGTGTGTGTGTGTGTGTGTGTGTGTGTGTGTGTGTGTGTGTGTGTGTGTGTGTGTGTGTGTG